GTATGGTGCTACTGGGCATGCGCACATCAATACAGCGTAATTTTTGTCACACTGTACAACAATAATTACTATTTTTTCAATATTGTAAGAGGTAGGTTTAGGGTTGAGGTAGGTGTAGACGTTAATAAAACACAATCTAATAGGTAGAAAATTAATTTCATTGTTCGTTTCCGGTCTGAGCTGTATCCCTTCTAGCCACAATCGGATACCTGTATGCCTGCATTTGTTGTTGCCGTAAAACAATCTGCCTTTTTCGCGGTATTTCGTATCCGCTCACCAAACTGACACGTTTTGGGGAGAGCGTGGCGTGGGAATGAAACAGAAGCCATTCGCCTTATTAGCAGTAGGTGTGCCATGAAACTTATATTTTAAGTTTAAAAAAAATAAAAACCTTACATATAGTTTGAATTTAACACACATTAAAATGGTTCGCTGTGCATATTACTTTTGGCCATTCTTAATGAAACACTTACTGCAGATTGAAGAGCCCTGGTATAGACTTATTTATCCATCACTTTAACTTACAACTCTACCTATTGTTTTTACCAAGTTATTTCGCACTTGTTTTGTCTACAAGCAGATGAGTTGAACTGTGGAAACTGGATCATGAATGCTAGGAAGTATACAACATGTCAGCGTCACAGAAACTTTTCTGTAAATTTGTCCTGGGTTGAGTGGGTTGGATTGTCATGCTGCTACAAAGTTGTGGGGAGGCTAAAAGCAAAAAAAATGCCTGAACATTACTGACAAGGAGGATTTTGTTAGCCCTAATTTAAGACACTGATGGTCCAGTCCAGCACAAGGTGCAAGTTTCTTACCAGCATGTAAATACTGGTAACAGATTATTTGGGGGCACTTTAATGCATGAAACAGAGTCCAACAGTCAGGTTCTGGAAGCAAAAATCCCCTTCATTATCTCCATAGGGAAGTTGATTTTTAATTATAAACCTTTAATTAACCTTTGATTAGTCACATGACATATAATGCTCCGGTTTGGCTGTATTTCATTTGTGGATTTCCACTGAGAATGCTAACAGTTAAGCTTGTCCAGGTATAATTTACCACCTAAGTCCAGCGCATAAGTAAATGTGATTTCAGTCTGCAGAAGCTGTGAGATGTTTACAGATTGGTCACAGGATGCGTCAGTCATCTCTGCTCCCACTCACAATCTGCCTCAGTCAGACTGTACCCGCCCACTCACAGAGACAGGTGGTCAATCTGTTGCTTCAGTGGCACAGGTGTGTGTTTGCGTGAGTGTGTAACAGCACTCCAAGACGGAACAGATGACGGTGGCATTTCAGGTGTGTAACAGGAGCACAGTAAATTCCACAAACATGGGGCTGGAGCATATGCGCTTTTGTTTATGTTAGATTATCAACCATAACACTCTATCTTTGTCATGGAATCCTGCAACAATGATTACAAGCTAAACAAATGCAGACTGTCAGTGTGGGCTTGAGGAAATCATCTGACGTTTAGTGTTTCAGAGGACATTCTCACACAAACAATCAAATTCCCTTCCTCTACCAGAGTGTTTTCACACCCTTCCCTGAGCTGCCGCACCTGCAGAGCAAACACAGTGTCAAAAACTATTCAACATATGACACCACTCTTAAACAGCTATTGTCATTCAGTCTAAACACACAAATGATCAGTGATCAGCTCTATTAGTCACACCTGTGACCTTTGTGAGGAATGTGTGCTTGTGATTTAGACCTTTTACAGGCATTCAAAGCCTCCCAAATGACTAACCTGCAAAACCTAAAACTTGCAGGACTCAAGGGCACGTCGCTGATACTTTATGGATCTTCCCTTTCAGGGTTTGAAACGAGGAGCTTTGGGTTACCGCCATCTATCTGGAACACACCACCACATCTTGTCAGTTAATACAGATCCTACGAGCATGAGACAAATGCACAAAACTGAGAAAATATGGGGGTGTCCCACATTACACATGGACTTGGTGAGTCATTAGGAACATCTAGTGCCTACAGTATGAATTTGGTACCTACACAGATTTCCTATCTTTGTAATTAGCCCACACACACAGAGAATAACGTACATCTGTCATAGCATGTTACAGCAGAAACGCCTAAGGTCTCTTCAGCTTAACAAACCATAGCAAAGTCAAACAGCTTTATAGTAATTTTTGTCCTGAGATGTACCTTGAGGTGGTGAATGCTGAATGGATTTGATCAGAAAATGTTTTTAGCAATGAACTGTCTGAACAGCATAGTTCTTGCAGCTCAGGATACAGATTGCTCAAAAATTGTTCTTATAAAAAAGTCATCATGTTGTTCCATACCAGCATGGAGTTATTGTTTTAAGTTTCTAGAAATTTAATACACAGATATTGCTATTTAACTACTCAAAAGTACACAACACATTTTTTATTTTTTTTTGGCTTAGGGTCAAAATTTGGCTGATTAGTATTGCACATTTAGCCCCCTGATGTTAGATGTTGTAACTACATCATTTGGACCCAAAAATAATCTTTCTTCAGAAAGTAGCTGTTTATGACAGGAAGATGATTTTGGTTTTCAATGGATCCTTTTCACATTTTCGGGGTTCTCAGAAGCAGAAGTCATCATAGCTGGGTAATCTGCTATAGTGGTGAATGGAAAATATAACAAATATCTTTTTGCGCTCCTATTTCCTCCACGACAGTTTTTCTATGACTTCAAAAGATGGAAAAATACTGAGAGATTGATTATGTTGGAAAAATGTCATATGTGTTGTCACTCTCTCAGCCATTGTATTAGAAACACTTACAGAGCAGTTAACTAGTTTTTTTTTTTCCATTTAATGCCAAGGTAGTACAACACAAAGTATAGTGCTATAAATGTAGATTAAAGGGGTTATGAACTGAGAAACCAAAATTCCCTTGATCTTTTGACATATAAGAGGTGATTGTACTATAAAAACATCCAGTAAGTTTCAGAACTCAAAACTTTTTATTGCTCATATTGAAGCCAATCGGCCAAAATGACAGCTTTTAGAATGTTCTGTACTCTATGATGTAATAGTGTGGCTAAGCAGCGCCTCTGCAGAACTTCAATGCCTGCTTCAACATCACTGCCTGTTTAGCCCCGCCCACTGTTTGCGCATGTAGTGTTTACGACGAGAGAGGCGAACTTGCAGCTCTATGCAGAAACCAAACGATAAAGATGGCTCTGAAGACAACAAGACACCGTGCAGTGCCAAGCTAATCCCAACATAAGGAAAGAGTGAATGAACTTTATTTTTGATAATGAATATCCAGACCGCATCAGTAAGAACTTGGTCCTTTGTTCACTTCATTTTACCACGGATTCGTTTACAAACAAGGCACAATTCGACACGGGATTTACAAAAGATTAAAACTAAAAGGTGATACTGTGCCGACTGTATTGGATCCGACAGCAACACAAGTGTGAGTAACTGTTTTTATTACGTGGTCACTATTGCTTTGTCTCTTCTTACAGATCGTTTGATATGTATTGAGTTATTCATGCGTTTTTGACTTAAAGGGGTCATATGATGCGATTTCAATTTTTCCTTTCTGTTTCAGAAAGGCGGGGCATAGAGGAGAAACAATAATGTACAGTATGTGGAAAATAATGTGTTTTTTTAACCTTAAACCGCATAAACACATTTCATTACACCAAATACACAAAATAATGTTCTTTTTAGTAGCATCATATGACCCCTTTAAATCACAGCAGCATCCATCTATGTACGCTGTCATAGCAATCATACCAATCATAGCAGTGGGCATATACTTCCGAGTCTGCAATCCACCACGCCTATTCAAACAGAGCGTTCTGATGAGAGGGGTTAAAAATAAGACTAAAATAATTTAAAAAACAAAGGCAGTTCATGACCCCTTTAAGTTTTTTTTTTTTTTCATGTAAATTAAAATAATAATTAAAAAACGTTTTCGTTTATATGAACACAAGTCATCACAGTCTGTGAAAAGGGTAATGCATTCTGGGAAATTAAGTGTTTTTCCACTGTGGTCCAAAAAATTTATTTATTACATGATGATATATATAGTCTATAGGTGGCAAAGTTTAGTGTGGCTAAGTGTAAAATGGTAGTTAATGACAGTAAATTTCTTTGAACTCCAGTTCATTTCATTACTACTTCCTTACATTCAATTGCAATTCTGTTTGCTACCTCAATTCTTGACCCCAATGTATAGGGACATTTTATGCGTAATATCCTAAAAACAGTTTACAGCATAAGTTCCAAATGTTTGATATGAATCTGAAGTATCTGTAAAACAGAAGTCCATTTTTGTGCATCTGTCTATCTGTGAAATGTCATGTAGTGATTTGAGACGGCGCTTGAGTTACATGAAGTTCAGCAGCTGGTGTACTATCAGCAGCAGTGAGTAGCAGTCCTATGGTGACCCCGCTTTAGGTCCGTCATGCTGCTAAATTGGACCTCTGATTAGCTCCACGCCTCTGAAATGACAGCTGTACTGGATACAGATCCATTGCGCTGGAATGAAGGTATGGCAGCTTCAGTAGTGGAAACAGTGAACTGTGCCAATAGGAAGAGTTTGATCCGAAGCAAGATACTGGAGACACCATCAACACACACTGTGTGCTTAATATAGCAACTGACATAGAGCAAGACATACCTCGCTGTTGCTCCTCAAATATTACAGGCCTGTTAATCCGAGGGGCTTCAGGTTGGGTGTGCAGCAACATGGCATTCTGTTCTTCAACTTGTACTCTTCATTTCCCTCTCTCTCTCTTCCTCCCTATCTTTAACCTGTCCTCCTGTCTCCCTCTCCAGTCTCTGTCCTTGGCAGAGCAGTGTGTGGTAATCCTATTACTCTTGTGTGAAAACCAGCTGAGAGAAAGAGAGGGAGACGGAGACGGAGAGAGAGGGATTGTCAGTTCTCTGTTATAGTGGTGAGCAGACAAAAAGCACTTTAAGCTATGGAACATGACCCTAAAGACTGAGGGAAGAATACAGGGACAAGAGAGGAGGGGCGCTAAAGGGAAATGATGGGATTCCCGACAGTTGGAGCGCCAAACTTGAAAATAAACATGTTCTTTGATGACAAAGAGCCCATTGACATGCTCTTTCGTCCTTCCACTCTCACAAGGACACAGGCAGATAGAAAAACACAAGTGGATAAACTGTTTTTCTTGTAAATTTGTATATTGTAATTCTTTAGTTGTATTCATCTGTCCACATAAAGTTAAGTTTATTTACATTTATTCATTTAGCAGATGCTTTTATCCAAAGTGATTTGCAACAAGCAGTTCATCTTAAGGATGCAATTACATGAGAAGTGCTAGCAATACAAAGTTTCAAGCATTGTCCAGGGGTGCGTTTCCCAAAATCATTATCTAACTGTGGTTGTTAGTTCCATTGAACTCTATTGGTAATGACAGAACTTGAGGCCATAGTTTTTTTTGGGAAACGCACCCCAGAATAGTACAAGGGAGGAATGTAAGATATGGTGAAAGAATAGAAGATTTTTTTGCACTTGTCTAATAAATCTACACATTTTCTGGTCATAGGGCAACAGTTATGTTGTTTGGCTGACTTCTGTCTTTTTCTACAAATTTCATATGTCATATTAATTGGTCATTTTTAGTTCAGCTTAGAAATAAAATCAGAAATGTGAGAATGACACTATAAGGTATTTTAAAAAATGACCTAAAATATTTTTCAAAATTTGTCATTATGTTTCTGTCATGAAATATAAGTAAAATGACAATGTCAATTTCAAGTGAATATTTGATGTTCAGTGTACTGAACGTTCAGAGTCACTGAGCAGCATTTTATACAACAGCAAAATATTACACAGATTGCATGGTATAATGATTCAAATAAAGCTAATATTGTTTAAGCTGCTACATAAAATAAAAACATTAATGTTGTTATTACATGTTATTGTTGTAATGTTGTTATTACATGTTGTTCATCAGTATTATTCATGTAATGACAATAAAAAAACAATAGTATTAAGCATAGGTTAATGATTTTATTCTATAATTATTATTTTATTCACATTTTGCTTAAAGTAATTTTTCATTATTATATTTATTAATATTGATATTGTTTCAGATTAACCTTTTAGTTCAACATTTTATATGCAGTAGACACAACGCTTTAGTTGCGCAACATTAGCCTAATAAAAATATCATAGTATAAAATTTGATGTCCAGTATAATTGAATAGCATTTAATTTGTTCCTCCCCCAGAAAACAAAGCAGAACTATCGCGTTATCTGAATTATTTGCTTTTTAATACACAGCAATTAAAAAAAAAATTCATTATTAAACATCATGAATTTAATAATAACAATTACTACCAATCTAAATTTGAAAGCGTGTAGCATGATGCATGAGGATGGCATGGTCTCTTGTTGTTTCTGTGGAATCGCTTTACTCTCTTGCTCTGTCTAACAGATCCATCACTTGCTAGTGTGCTTCGCTCCACTAGAAGGCCAACAGATAAAGAGATAATGAGGCCCTCTTAAACAGAGTACTCTCTCTTTTACCATCTAACTTGAGAGTGCAGCAACACTCATGGGTGAAAAAAATGCAGTGCATGCTAGCACTTTTTTTTATTATTTGTCCTCAGGACTCTAATTTCTGAGAAAAATCAGTGCCACACAGGAACACTTCTTAATATTGAGACCATGTATTTTGATTAACAGCAAAATGGAGGGAGGAGAGGCTGAACTGTGCAAGGGTGTTGGGAAGCACTGTATCACTCCAGCATCTGTCTGTCACCCCGATTTTAAATGCTGATCATCTCATAAAGAAGAACAGGGATATTAAAGGGATAGTTCACCCAAAAATTTTAATTAGCCCATTATTTACTCACCCTCAAGCCATCCTAGGCGTATATGACTTCCTTCCAAAAGAAGTGAAATAAAGTGCATCCATCCATAATAAAAAGTGCCTCACACGGCTGCGGGGGGTGAACAAAGGCCTCCTGTCACGAATCGATGTGTTTTTGTAAGAAAAATAACCATATTTAAAACGGAAATAGCGTAATGTACAACAGTGAGCGCAAGCTAGATTCAATTGATTATTACGTTTTAAATATAATTTTTCTTACAAAAATGCATTGATTCGCGACAGGAGGCCTTTGTTCACCCCCCAGAGCCATGTGAGACACTTTTTTATTATGGATGGATGCGCTTTATTTAACTTCTTTTGGACTGATGAACTGCAACACCCACTGACTGCCATTAAACAGCTTGGAAGATCAAAGAGCATTTTTAATATAACTCCGACTGGATTCGTCTGAAAGAAGAAAGTCATATTCACCTAGGATGCCTTGAGGGTGAGTAATTCATGGGCTAATTTTCATTTTTGGGCGAACTAACCTTTAAGCTGATGGGGCAGGGGAACAGAAGAGGGGGGGTTCTCCCATAATGCTGCAACTGAGAAAAATCACAGAATTACATCAAACAATGAGGGCAGGTATAATGAAATGAGAAGAATGTTTCTGTAAATTATCTTTTAAAACTAAGGCTTATGCTTAAATACTTTAAAATTATGTATATGACGTCTCTGTATTGATTTATTTACCAAACCAAAAAGTATTTGTAATGCATACATTTCACCAGAGAGTGAAGGGAAATGTGATTTTATATTGCAAGATATAAAGTAACAACTAACTGTGATTTTATATCTTTCAGTGTGACTTTGTTTTACACAGCTGTGTCTTAAAGGAGACATATTATGCCCCTTTTTACAATATGTAATATAAGTCTCTGGTGTCCCCAGAATGTGTCTGTTAAGTGTCAGCTCATTTTCCAGAATAGAGCTGCCATTACAGCTGTACCTGCTAAAAAACATCTGTTTTGGTTCTGATTATCATGCTTATCGCGCTGAAATCATGCGTTTTAAAGTTTAAAAGTTTAAACTTCTGATATACGGTTTTCTGAGCGCACACAACCGAAGCACATGGACAGAAAGCTGCTGTCACAGCATGTGAGTACTAAACTAAGTTCTCATTCACACACAAGTTTACGTTAAAAACACACGAATTACAAAAACAGCTGATTATGTCTGTGAAGGTAAACAGCTGGGAAATAAATCGCTTGTTT